ATCCCCCCTTTGGTGAATAAATGCTGAGCACAATACGATCTCTGCCAGAAATTTTGAACATCGTCCCACCGGGCCATCAGCCCATCACTGACCGATCACGAAATTTTGACCCAGTCTAGTGTTTGAAACGGGTCTCAAACGCCTGAACTGACCGACACCTCCCATATCGAGCCCGAATATGGTGTAGATATGGGGGAGCCCGCCACGTCGGACTGATGTTGAGGTCCCACGCGGAATCGTCTGGAAACCCGATGGTTTGAAGCTCGTTTCCTTCATCGGTCGATATCGGCCCGTGGCGCCCCTCCGGCGGGCCAGAGCCGCGTAGTGCCTGGTCCGGCAATTTAAGCTGACCGTCGGCACAGAAACCCTATCCTCCACATTTTTCTCCGTCCGTCCGCTGCCACTTTTTACTCCCCGTCTGTCGCCATTAGTAGCCATGCCCCCACGCCGCTGGATAAGGGGACACCCATTTCTAACGCCGGAGCGTCAACTGCAGCTTCTTGAGCAGATCCGGGCAAGACGCGAAGTCCGGATCGCCGCCGGATGCAGTGGATCCAGAGAAGGACGATGAGGTTGAAGAGGAGGGGGAGCCGGAGGATGATGTGGGGGACGCCGGGGATGCTGATCTCCAAGCGGAGCATAAGGCCATACTCAATTCCCTCCGGTTGGAGTCGGATGCGGAGTCGCCGGCAGGAGATGGAGGCGCAGCACGCCGGAGGAGGAGGAGATGTTCGCCTACGTGGATGAGGTCGAGCAGGAGGAGGAGCCGGAGCCCTCCTACGCTCCCGTCCATCCGGGGGCCGGCCGACGTCGTGGACATCTGCGACGATGAAGATTAGCTAGGATAGTATGTAGTACGTAGGATTTTTCTTTTTGCATGCTTTGTATTGATCTAGGAGTTGAAATATGGGATGCAGAGTAGCTAATTTGAGGCATGATCGGTCAGCGTCTGCGGACGTGGATGTTTAAGGGACCGGATTTGTCAAGTCCCATGCTCTCACAGTTTTGTACGGGGTCATCTTCCGCTCAACTCTCTCACCAAGGTTCAAATCTTGCCGCTCGCATTTATTACTAAATTTATTTCAGGATTTCCGGCGATGCATATTTAGTGGGAGGAGACGTTTCCGTCGATGACGAGATGCTTACGGTGACTTCGTAAATTTTAAGATGATATGCCGGCTCAATCTATCGAAGGTGTTCATAGAGATAGGATGTGCGTGTGTGCGTTCATAGATGTGAGTGTATGCGCGTGTATATGAGCGCTTAAGTCTGTATTGTGTTAAATAAAAACTCTTTGAAAACAGTGGTTTCGGGCAGTGGCCATGCTGCCGCGGCCGTGGTGTACGATGGCTGCCGCTTTCCGTCGGGGCCGGGCCCGTGCATCCCTCAGTTGATGCGGCAGATCAGGCCGGCCGTCGATCTCGCCGTGGTCCGACCGCCGGATCGGGTCGTACCCACCCACGCGCGCCGGCATCTCCATCGTGCCAGATGAGATGAGACGAGAAGAACCAAACCTTGAGATGCGATCCAAAATATCTCATCGTGCCAAAGATGAGATGAGGTGATTTTTTGGAGACGCGAGGCATCCATGCGCCGGGCATGCACGTGTGCCAACGGAGCGGAGGAGGCACGCACCCGACGTGGCGGTCCCACACCCTCGATCTGCTCCACTTGCACGTATTGCAACGTCGTCGTTTGTCCATTTTCGGGCCTCTGGTTCGTAGGAATCTCATAGAATTTCTATAGAATAGGATTTGTATAGAAAAATTTCTTTTAAATCCCTTTGGTTTGTAGGATTGGATTCTTATTTTTACGTAGGATAGGAATCAATCCTTCACATTTTGAAGGAAAGAAATATTAGCTAAGACTCAATGCAAAAATTCCTATTATATACATCAAATGACACCTCTTTCTCTATAGGAATTGAGATACATGTCATCTCACTTACTATGATTTTTTTATTCCTATAACATTTCTATCCTATGAACCAAAATAGGCCTCAGTGTGCGTGTCCAACCCGATCCAACGGAGCACAATATGAAGATGGATTCACGACTTTGGGGTTGCCACAAACACGAACACGAATATGCAAATGTAAGTTAATTTAAGCTTCTGATTCAAAAGACGCAAGCGATTGAAAAATCCAAAACCAAAAGGGAAAAAATGGGCAGGGGCTGCGCCGTGTTTGAAGTCCGGGTCGAAAGGGACATGTATGCGGAAACAAAACTGGGACGCGTGTGGTGCCAACGGAGCTGAGCGGGGCTTCACGCTCGCGCGGGCGGTTGTCCCGTCCGTCCGATAGCCGCTTGCCCGCCTTTTTTTTTTTGGTAATAATAAAAGCGTCTCCATTTGTCTCTGCTTGTGCGTTTTATTTCACCTTAATTGGTAGTCTAGATACATCCGTATGTAGACAAATTCAAGACAAATAATTCGAAACGGAGAGAGTAGTACATGTTTCCAACAGCTTCGAGTAGTGGTGTCTTTTGCAAAAAGGATGGGCCGATTAAGTCCGACTCGCCGGCGTGCGAATCCATCATATCAGAAATGGCGCCGTGATGACAACATATCCCCAACAGAAAAAGAAATGGAATATGTACTAAGTCTAACAGAAGAAGGACAGCGAGATTGGGCCCAGTTCAAATTCAAACGCCTTATTTTGTTTTTAGTAGCGTAGGAGGAGCAATAATTGAGCAGGGTGGTGCAGGACGGACGGATGGATCGAGATGGCATCTGCATGCATGATCTGATTCCGATTCCGATCTGTTGGTCTCCAGTAGCCCTGTAGCCCGCCCGTTTAAAAGCCCCGGCATTCGCAGCTCGCTCCACGCTTCCCTCCGCCCCGGACCGGACCCAGCCAGGTTGGTTTCAACTTCTTCTTCTTCTTCTTCTTCTTCTTCTTCTTCTTCTTTAGTTACTATTCGTCTTCAGTTATACACTTGATCTCCTGGCTACCAGTACTACTCTCTTGTGTTCCTTGTGCAATTTTTCTTCCTTGCCTAGCTGGGTCCTTTTTCTTTTTCTTTTTACAGTTCCGTCGTCTCCCTCCTCTGTTTTCTCCGCCCGCATACAGAGAGACGGGAGATGTTCCGGTGTTCCGACTAGGTTCATCCAGAAATGTCCGTACACTTCCCTCCGGCTCTAGTAAGGGCAGTTTCGTCAGGCGTTGCTTGTTCTACTAGCAGTAGAATAGAAGACGCCAAATGGAGTGAGGGGCACGGGAGTAAATGCGCACCCCAAAACCTCATCTCTCCCAAACCCACGCTCCAAATACTACTACTGCCAACAGTCCCCAGCCGAGCGCCTTCCCTTGGAGCGGGGGATCTGCTCTGCTCTGCTCTCCTCACCTCCTCCTCCTCCTTCCCTCCTGGTAAGCAGCTCCGCCTCGATTGATCGATTGATTGTCGCAAGCTGTTCGTGGGCGGATCCGTCACTCCCGCCCGCGCGCACACACCCACAAAGCCTGATTCTTTTGCTGTTTCTCTTCCTTTTCCTTCTCGCCGCCTGCTCCGCCGGGCAAAGCCGCACCCCGCGTTCCTGCGTGCGTTTCGGCCAAGCTTTCCTCCGCCGGATCCACCAACTCCTGGGCAGGAGCAGGATTCTATCTAGGTTCTTGTTCTTGTTCTTGTTGAGACGATTAGACTCTTTCTTCACCCTGGTGTCAAATCCTCAGCCGGAATACAGGCAGATCTGTCCCTCCTGCACCGGGATTCTAGGTCGTGCCACTTTAGGCAGGCAGGCAGTTGGATTCTTTTCTTTTCCTTTTTCTTTTTTCGTGAATACAGCTCTTGCGAAAATCTTCGGTCAACGTTCGCCCCTTCCTACCATGTTATTACCTGCCATAGGATTGCTAATTTTGGCATGAGTTTCCCGCGGATCTAGATCCGTCCGTATAAGTTCTTGCAGTGCCATATATAGTAGGAGTACGTTTCTTGCATGTGCCTCGCAGCTGCACAAATCTGGCTAAACTACTGTCATGTTTCCCTGAAGATAAAATGGTGCAGCGCAAGTTAGACAGGGCGTTCTCGCATGTCAAATTCTCAATGTCAGATAGTATCCGTGCTAGGAATCCAAGATGGTGCAGCAGTGACAACCCAGCATTTTTTTACTTTTCGTGGAACTCTGAATGAATGACAGGAGGTGTGTTAGGGAATTACTTATGGTTGTGCATGTAGTCCTCATGGAATTACTCATGTCATGTCCAGTTCCTTGGCAGCTACTAGGCTGCTCTGCCTGTGAATGATAGTGCCTGTCACCCTCTTAACATGTTGATCCACTTTGTGCAAAGAACATGCTCCGTGTTAGATGTCACTGCATCATTTTCACCTAACATCATGTGGCGATTACAAATAGGATACAGATGGATGCATCTTGGCAACCAAGCCATGAGAAAGGGGCTACTCTGCTTTTGTTATGTTTTGCCTTTGCTGTTTACAGTTTAACCCTAGCTAGTATATGCTTCCCTGTTACTCTTATATATACCATCATGGCTCAGCTAACAGTACTGATGTGATCATGTCCAACGGCCTGGCAGCTGCATTGCCCCTGTCCGTGACAGCATCTGTTTGCATAATAATAGGATATGCTCATCCATGTTGCTGCACCATTTTCACTTAATTTCTTAACATTATATGACAGTTGAAAATTCAAAATGGAATTGGGATGGATAAAGAGTCTTACTGATACAGCCCTTGGTCAATATACAGTACTCCCTCCGTAAACAAATATAAGAGTGTTTAGATCACTACTTTAGTGATCTAAATGCTCTTATATTCCTTTACAGAGGGAGTATGTCTTTGGGGCCATGGCAATGCTACAGTTCTGTTCTTCTTTTCAGCCTTGCCTGTGTATAATTATTTCTTCCTGATATGCTTCACTTTTAAACTGTACTGCATGGTAAAAATGGAATTGGGATCCTTGTGTCCTGGCAGTCATGAGAATATACTAGTACTGCTGCTTTTGTTTTTTTTTTGCCTTTACTGTGTACATTGTTTCTCCCTGGTATGCTTCCCTGTCACTGTTATATCATCAATCATGGCTCGGCTAACATCTCTTTCTACTACTCTTTTCATTTCAGAAGTCAGCCTCCAGCCATGGCGGACCTGCAGACGCCGCTGGTGCGACCAAAGAGGAAGAAGGTTCTGGTGGACTACCTGGTGCAGTTCCGATGGATCCTCGTCATCTTCGTGGTGCTTCCGGCCTCGGCGCTCATCTACTTCAACATCTACCTGGGCGACATGTGGTCCGCCATGAAGTCCGAGAAGAAGCGGCAGAAGGAGCACGAGGACAACGTGCAGAAGGTCGTGAAGCGGCTCAAGCAGCGCAACCCCAAGAAGGACGGCCTCGTCTGCACGGCCAGGAAGCCGTGGATCGCCGTCGGCATGCGCAACGTGGACTACAAGCGCGTCAGGCACTTCGAGGTCGACCTCTCCGCCTTCAGGAACATCCTCGAGATCGACGCCGAGAGGATGGTCGCCAAGGTCGAGCCGCTCGTCAACATGGGCCAGATATCCAGGGCCACCTGCCCCATGAACCTCTCCCTCGCCGTGGTGGCGGAGCTCGACGACCTCACCGTCGGCGGCCTCATCAACGGCTACGGCATCGAGGGGAGCTCTCACATCTACGGGCTCTTCTCCGACACGGTTGTCGCGCTGGAGATCGTCCTGGCTGACGGCCGGGTCGTCCGAGCCACCAAGGACAACGAGTACTCCGACCTCTTCTACGGCGTGCCCTGGTCGCAGGGAACTCTCGGGTTCCTTGTCTCAGCCGAGATCAAGCTCATCCCCATCAAGGAGTACATGAGGCTCACCTACACCCCTGTGAAGGGCCCTCTGAAGGAGGTGGCGCAGGCGTACGCCGACGCCGTCGCGCCGAGGGACGGTGACCCTGCAAAGGTCCCCGACTTCGTGGAGGGGATGGTGTACAGCGCGACGGAGGGCGTGATGATGACCGGCGTGTACGCGTCCAAGGAGGAGGCCAAGAAGAAGGGCAACAAGATCAACAGCGTGGGGTGGTGGTTCAAGCCATGGTTCTACCAGCACGCGCAGACGGCGCTGAAGAGGGGCGAGTTCGTGGAGTACATCCCGACGAGGGAGTACTACCACAGGCACACCCGGTGCCTCTACTGGGAGGGGAAGCTCATCCTGCCCTTCGGCGACCAGTTCTGGTTCAGGTTCCTCTTCGGCTGGCTGATGCCCCCCAAGGTGTCCCTGCTCAAGGCCACCCAGGGCGACGCCATCAGGAACTACTACCATGACAACCATGTCATCCAGGACATGCTGGTGCCCCTGTACAAGGTTGGAGACGCCCTCGAGTTCGTCCACCACGAGATGGAGGTAAAAATGTTCCTCTTCTGCGTAACATTCATGCAGATATGCTTGCATCAAGTCTTTTAGCTAGGAATTTGCTAGGAATTCATCTTCCCTTTTTTGGGCCACATAGCATTCATTCAAGCAGATATGTGCATCGAGCATGCTAGGCTGTAGGAGCTGTGAATTTCTGCGCATTGTCATTGTGTAGTTGTTGCTTGCTCTGATTGTTCATCCAGCAGGTAACTAATATTGCTGCTTGACTGTCGATACAAAGTATAATATTGCTGCTAAAAATTAGTCTGAAAGAAAGAAAGAAAGAAGAACGTTCTGTTTGGTGTGTCTCATTCTCATGATAATGCTTATGACATAACAGGTGTACCCGCTGTGGCTGTGCCCTCACCGGCTGTTCAAGCTGCCGGTGAAGACGATGATCTACCCGGAGCCGGGGTTCGAGCACCAGCAGCGGCAGGGGGACACGAGCTACGCGCAGATGTTCACGGACGTGGGGGTGTACTACACGCCGGCGTGCATCTTCCGCGGGGAGGAGTTCGACGGGGCGGAGTCGGTGAAGCGGCTGGAGCAGTGGCTGATCGAGAACCACAGCTACCAGCCGCAGTACGCGGTGACGGAGCTGAACGAGAAGGACTTCTGGCGCATGTTCGACGCGTCGCACTACGAGCACTGCCGGCAGAAATACGGCGCCGTGGGCACCTTCATGAGCGTCTACTACAAGTCCAAGAAGGGGCGCAAGTCGGAGAAGGAGGTGCAGGAGGCCGAGGCCGCCATCCTCGAGCCCGCCTACGCCGACGAGGCCTAGGCCGTCAGCTCGTCGTCGTCACTCTGGATGAATTAATTCGCTTTTGCTTTGCTTGGTTATTTTGATTATTAATAAGTAGAACTTGATGGACGGGTCGTGTAGCGTTGGAACTTTGTGTGTAGCAGTGTCATTGTTGGATTTGCCCCGTTTTTAATCTGTGGAATTGGTTGTTATGTGACACTTTTACCCGGAGAAATCATCTTCTTCTGTCATGCATCTTCTTTCCACTAGTACGTGCTGTATGTGATCTTCACACAGCGCTCTGCCACTGTTCCCACTCTCAGGGAACAATGCTCTGTGATCTTATCATAGTCATAGCATAAATAAAAGATGCCTGCCTTGTTGCTGGCCAGATCTAGTTACAGTATCCCATAAGCTAAGAGTTACAGTGTTACACACAGCCAGTGTTGGGTTGCATTGCAGTTGCAGACATGAGTGATCCCTTCTCATTCTCACTGAATGACGATGATTTCCTGCATTGTTGGTGATCAGATCTATATTATGCAGCTACAGAGTTAGATAGATACAGTGCTGAGTTGAGTTACAGGCATATATGTACACACATCACATGGGTGAGCAAGCTAATTACATTTAAAAAGGGGTTGCACCTATGATATCAACCCCAACTAGTAAGTAAGCAGTGAGCTAAACATTTTCTGGTCTGGTTTCACTTTCAATTGAGCAGCACCTCCACATGTACCTCTATCTCAAATATATACAGGGGTAACACAGGCGGACGGCGCCGCTCAGTCCGCATGGTTCTGGTTACAGGGGAAGTGGCCCCCGTCAGTGTTTCTGAAACATGGTGTGTGCAAAAAGCTTGGGGTCGTCTACCGTTGCTGTCGGGACAGGAAGAACTCATAGTCCGGGTGCCTGTTCCTGTGGGCCTGGTCCTTCTTCCACACGTCCGCCCTGGCCATGGCCGCCGCGGCTTGGTTCAGCGTCGACAACCTTTCTTCAAGAACCTGAGATGGTTCACTTGACGAGGACTCTGAGTCTTCCGAACCGGATCTGCTCGTCTGAAACCACCACTCCCCCTGCAATGCAAGATGCAAAGAATGGTCGCATGAGCAAAACATGTATTTGCCGTTTCGAAAGCAAAAATAAGCACACTAGCCACTCTGTTTGTTTACACGACCATATTCGACTGAAACCATACATACACTTGACCACATACTAGACACACTGCAGATTAACTTGGGACCAAAACAAGCCTTTGCCACAGCTCAACGTTTCATTCGCGACAGAACTTTTCTGGCCATGACTTGGAACGAAACTACAAGACATTAAATTGGGATCTGTTGATGATAGGACCAACGAGGATCCCTCTTTAGCCAAATGAAGGGCTGACAAATAAGAAGCATCAAACAATTTCAGAGTTTGTTCAGCAATATCCATGTCACCGTCTGCAATTTTGCATCAGAACTAACATGTCTTTCAATGCCTGGGGTCTTAAAACCAACTTAAACAATCTTCGGTTAACCTGTATGTACATGTCAGGAGAAAAGCAGCCATATTACCTTGTCGTTGTAAGATTGCAAACCCATGACTGGCAAAACAGCATTACAATGGCCAGCCTGATCTGCTGAGTTTCCTCGATGAACCCAGTGTCCAAGAGAATGGTACGTCAGGAAAGCAGCCTGGAATTTCCCATCAGGTATACGGTATATGGGATACCACGCGACACAGTACCTGAAATCCAGAGTAACATGTTATCTGAAAACAAGCTCGTCCAAAAAATAGTTTCACATATCTATATGCAAGAATATGCCGCTGATGACGGGTCAGATACTACTAGAGCATAGAACGGACCAAGAGGCGGGATGAAGATCATGCAGGTTGAGCTCCAGATTCTTTGGGTCTCCTGATATTTGGCAATTTGATTGTTTTGCACCACCAATCAACTCCTTTACCCTAGTAAAATTGCAATGAGATTTCAATAAAATCATCTCAGAAAAAAAGTACCTTTCCTAGAGTTTCACTGTACACCATGAAGATTTATACTAAAATAAGAGCATAAAAAAGGCTAACAAATAAGAGCCAGAATCCTGGACGCCTTTGTTCATGAAGGCAGAGACTCGCACTCACCTGTCAAATAACTGTCGCCGCCAAAATGGTTGTTCAGATTCAAAGAATTCAAATATGAGCTCTGTAGCCTCCAACTGCTGATCATCTTTATCACGGAAAGCCGGCGAGCTATTTCTTTTATTGGACTCTTGAGGTAGAAGCTTCGCTAATATTGGGAGAGAGCTCATACATGGAGATGTTTTAGATCTTGCACCCATATCGGCTTCATCCTTATCAACGGTTCTCTTAGGTTGCCTAAACAATTGAACCGCAGATAGGTATGGCACAAAGTAGGCATTAAACTGATAACGACTATTCCATAAGCCTTTCGATCTACGGAGATCCTGTGCCTTCACTTCCAAGCCATAGCAGCCAGGTTCTTCATACCACTGCCAAATGCTACTTAGAGAGATATCTGCAGTCTGATGACAGCACAAGCCATCTCTAATCCATTCCTGTGAAGAAGAGTTGCAGCCAGTAGGGCAAGAGCTACAGTGCAGAACTGGAGAAGCAGAATAAATAAATTGTTCAAAATCAGCAAGAGGCCTGCCAATGTGAAGTTGAATATCTTCCGCTCTCTGTTGGGCGGTATGAGCATCACTCACTGCCTCTCTTATCATGCTGAAAACAGTTCCATTGTCAGTATGTCCTTGGCATTTCGAATCAAGCTGTCCAGATGGCTTCGGTTTAGCAGTCAACTCAGTAGCAACTTTGCTGCCTTCACATTTAGTTGATGCAGGAGCATCTGAAACATTTCTCTGCACTTCTATATTAGCAAAAAGAGAAACATCATTAGCTGGAACTGATGCTTCAACAACAGAAGCCTCTGGAACATCCAAATGTGTTATATCTTTCTTTCCAATAGGAACCCATTTATGTGACATGTGCCCAGCAGAAGAATATGACTTCACACATTGAGTTTCTTCCATTTCTGCGGCGCAAGGACCGACGCACAAGTTCCTGCAGTCCAAATCTGTTGATATGGCCTTATTTTCAAGGCAAAGAGAGTGACTATCGTCTTGAATGACCAATGTGCATGGTTCATTGGATGTAACTTGTGGCACCAAATGAGAACCCAAGTTGTAAGATGCTACTGTTGCTTTTTCAGTACCAGTTATGATTGATGTATCACTGATGTCCCTGGCACATACTGGCTGTAACATCAACAATCCTTCAGTCTGTTGCGAGTGGTTCTTGGGCGTCTTGGGGCTACCATTCTTAGGAGCGTAGTAGTTCCTCGGCGACGGACAGCTACCCTTTTTACAAGACAAACTTGTTTGTTCATACAGAGACAAGGTTTGCTTCTTGTGCTGTTTGCAGTTTTTTCTACAGCGATGTTTATCCATTGGCCTATTTGGATCGTGCTGCACACCCTTGCTATCATCTTCTAGTGCACTTTTATCCTCAACTGCTGAAACAACCACATGTCCTGCTCCAGATGAGTTTTCCTTGTCAGTTTTTTCTACTTTCTGCCACACAGAAACTGGACTGTCTTTTCCACTATGCTTGTGCCTATTAGAACCTACTACCCTATTAGTCGCAGTCACATTAGTACAGCTAGATTTGTTTCTTGATTTCCTGCCGCTCCTCCCCGGACTAACTGGAAGAAACGTCTTGCTGCTACAGGCTTCACTGCTGCACTGAACTCTTTCAGAATGACTACTAGTATCAGTAACATCTTCAGCATGAGCGCCACTTAAATGGACATCTGTCAAATGGCATACCTTATTTACACTATCCAGACAAGTAGAAGCGCCATGTTGCAAACCATCTCGTGTATTTCCCTCAAAATCAATACTGCAATCCCCACAGTTTTCACTGTTCCAACCCGTAAAGAATGAAGCTGTTGTTGCATCACTGGAGTTACAAACACAGGCACACAATGACTTCTGGCAGCTATTGCTTTCTTCTCTCGCATGTTCAGTGACAGAAGGTTCACCAAATTCTGAAGAATCCGCAGTATTTGGCCCATCATTCAGGTAAGGAGCACCTTTGCAGCTAACTCTTTTGCCTACATATATATATGATGACCCTGCATATCCAGAGCCATCCTTCCCATCACTTCCGTGTTCCACATATTCATTGTTGCTCTCACCATTATCTTTGCCCAAATGGGCATCTTTAACCAATGAGCAGGCAGATGACGAGGCATCTGACAATTTACCAGCTAGTAAATCAGGCAGAAATACCTCAACAGGAGAAGCGGTATCAATATGCTCTTCACAGGGGAGTTCTGGCAACAAATTAAGCTTTTCACCGGTTGCTCGCCTGCACTGTTTCCACTTGTTTACTTTCTTCTTAGAACTCCTTTTAGGAGGCTTGTCATCGTCATGCAAAATATCAGAATCAGATCCCAGAGGAGCAGTATCAGGCCCAGAAGAGGTACTTGCAACCGCGTGGCAGGGAGGGCAAGCTGTCAATGACTTCTTAATCTTTTTCCTATGCCGATGTTGTCCTACAGTGCTTCCTCCATTGGGATGTGGTTTAGAAGAAATGTCCTGATCATGCATGTTCTTTTCATTCGGCAGATCTAGCCAGTATACTATTGTTGGCTGTGGGAATAGTAACTCAAAGCCCTCTGTAGCAGCAGTTCCTAATGTCAAATATCTTGCCCTGTTGACCTCCTGTCTGCTAGATGAAAACGGCGCCAATTTCCAATCTGAACTGTGCCCAAGAGAAAGCACCGTAAATGGACTGTCCCTGGCACACCACAAAAAGACAGTAAACAAGTAGCTTCCCGAAAAACTGAATAACAGGTGAGAGGACCACAGTGACTGCCCTGAAAAGTAAAAAAGAAAAAGGATATTGAGGGTAGAAACTATGAAGTGTTTGGACATGGTGATTGTGTCATGCATACGAGAAAGGTACACATAGGTCACTGTAAGCTGGCAAGCACAAAATGTTAACAAACTAACAGAGAAGAATAACAAAAT